GGTCGGTTAGTTCCATCGGAAGAAAAAGAAAATGAGAGAAATATTATCGCCCCCTGGAGAAGTGAACTCACTTCGTTTACGAACAAGGCAGTCTTTCGGGCAACTTCTTCCCAAACAACGGTGAGCGTAAGAACGACGAACAAAAACAGTGTAGATTATCAGACAGATCGACAGGCCTGAAAATCTGTGGGAACTCGATGTATACTTTTTATTTTTATGGTGTTTGCCAACCTTTAAAACAGATTTGTGTCTTCGTAGAGAGAATTAAACCCCCTAATTCAGTCCCGTTACTTATACATGTACTATTTTACGTAATTTTAAAGCTTACTAGGCTTGTAAGATATTCTTTATGCACTTCTAGATTCGGATTTTGATCCTAAACAATAAACTGATGGTGTCCCAGTTGTTATTTTTTTAAAGCCTGAATTTAAAAAAAGTAAACCCTAAGCTAGCAAAATAGTGGTTACTCAGTGGCTCTGGGAGCAGATGGAGCTAACCTGAGAGTCTCTCCACGTGAGTTCTGCGTAAAAAGCGAAGGACTGTTAAGTTGGATTAAAGTTCGGCACTTGGCTGAGATCATTTATTATTATCATAAGTACACAAAATTAGAATCTTGATAACCCTTAAAGATATAAACAAAGCTCTGTTGTCCTTCATTTAATTTTAATTAAAAACATTTTTTGGAATCGAAACCGATACGATTTGCGCCAATATTAGTCAATATTAATATATATTATTTTCTTTCGTTTATATTTTCTGTGTTTCAGTGGACCCCGAAAAGGTAAGAGAGGTCATTGATGATGTGGCAAACAAGTTCAACGGAGCTACCTCTGTTTCGGCTTTGTTTGATGGTAAGTACCAACTGTTTCTGTAACAATTTCCCCGAACGCATATTTGCTTGCTTACTTGTGTATTAAGGATAACTATCCGATTTTCCTTCCTCTCTACTTTGCTATTAATAGCCCGTTCAATCTAAACCGTTTTAGTTACTAGTTAACAACGGCAGGCCTCGAGTTATTGATAACTCAACCATAAATGTTTTACGCCCCATGGCACCATTTCAAGCATTCGGAAAATATGCTTGTTAAGCCTCAACACTGGTGACGCAGGATAGTACATCACATTACAAAGATAGAGGTACTATTTAAGATGTCTGGTCAATTCAATTCTTTTTTAAGAAGGTGCATTCAGGGAGTACAGTTCGCTTTCAAATGAAAAAAGAAGGCCTCGAAATACGAGTAGCTAAAGATGACAAGGAATTATTCTATTTACCTATCGGTCTTGTTCCATTCGTTCTAGTCTCCATTTATAATTTTCATTCTGGTGGTCAGTCCACCTTCAATTCTAATATCAAGAACTTTTAAACACCCCCCCCCCCACCCCCAACCTCATACGTCACACACAATTTCATTTACCTTGACCCTCGATGTACTTCCTCAGATCCGATGGACTTTGATGCCAGCAAGATGGACTCTGCCCTTCATCTTCTGGATGGTCTAGCGGCCAAGGCCCAGGAGATGCAAGGTAAGGGCTAGAAACTATAACTTCATAAGATTCGAATTCAATTCCCGCATTGCTTCACCTTAGTAGACTATAGTTAATGGTTGTCAGTTACACTTAAAGGCACAGCCCATTTGCCCCGGCCACCCGAGACATTTTGACCCTAGAAGAAAAATATTGCAACAGGCAGTAAACGAAAACCAGACGGTTCAACGTGAATGCCTGTTGAAAAAAAAGCTAACATCAAGGCTCAGATGTGTATACGGTTCTGATTCTATGCTGCTTTCTTTAGTTCCCTCTCTGTTCCTATTTTCTCACAAACTGCTGAGCCGAAAACCCCATCTTAGAAATGACACATCATGTTAAAAAAATTTCACACAAAAGAAATAATTTAAAAATTAAGCATACACGATCTCCCCCAACTCTCTCTCTCTCTCTCTCTCTCTCTCTCTCTCTCTCTCTCTCTCTCTCTCC